TATATTTCCTGCATACATACATTTATCCCGACCTATCCCTACAAAATCTGCAAAATTATGTTGAATTTCATGACAATTTCTTTCCTTTAAGAAGTAAAAATACATTCCTTTTCTTTTGTCGTATCAACCGAAATGAATGTACTGTATCTCATTGTAACCGGATTGTTTCCGTTAAAGTTTAATTGTATAGAAGTGCTGCAATGAACCCGATTTTTCTTCGTTTCATGCAAAACTAGCTACAAGAAAAATGATATTGCCCGGTATAACTACATCGAAAATGCTCTTGTTTCTTCGTTAGTGTTTTATGCTTTTGCCGATAACGCTTCTAAGGAACTGGAATTTTTCATTGATCTGTTTCAAATCTACTAAACATATGTATTACAACAGATTTCGATTCGGACAATTTGTGTTGGAAGTGGTTGTATTTCTGCTGTGCAGACGGTGCATTGGATGGAAAAACCAAGATGGCGGCCGTGTGTCAGGCGTGTCAAATTCTCGGTTCGGAAATAAAAGAGGTTGACACAACCTGTCACTTTCATAAACACCAACCGTAAACACCTAGACGTGTACAATTTGACACAGCTGCTTGCACATACCCTGTCGTATCAATATACAGGCGTATACGTCGCATACAATATTAATAATACCTTCACTCCTCCAACCGCCCTCGCTGAGCGTTTCTCGATTTTATTTTGGAAAAATGTCGATAAGAAAATATCGACTGGTGGTTCCAAAATGTGCTGGAATCGACTCGGTCTTTTAGACCTGACCAAGAGTTTATGACATATCTGATTACAATCGACAACGCCGTAAAAAACCGTGTCCTTTTCTTACTGTGTAGCCCATTTTGGCTTGGTGGAGGATATTGTAACAAATATGCCTATTAAAGCTCTACAATCAGAGACCTACATGGAAAAGCTAGCCCCGCATTTGAGTATTTTGCAATACCCGTACTAGGAAAAGTAATACAAGGGGCCATGGTATAACTATTCTCTTTCTGCATTACCTATCTTGGTCAGCCATGTTTGAATTTCTGAATTTTCGCTAAACGAACAACAAAAGTAAACAAACAAAGTGTACCGTAACTTGACTGTTTATTTTATCTTTAAACTGAGCAAATATATCGCAAGAATGAACAAAACATGATCGAACCGTAGTTTGAATTATATTTTTTAATATCATAACGAAAATGTACATCGCTTGTTGTTTACAATGAATATATATCCGATTTGCTGTTAATTGTAAATGTGCTAGAACTAGGAAATTAGTAAAGCTGCTATGCGTATGACCAAATACTCATCTAAACACCATCGTGTCACCACACATATACCATACTATTGACAGCATATCCACCCAATACTAGAATACAGACCCAACACTAAAGCAGCATCTATAATACAAGAACAACATAACAAGGTGCGATACAAACAAAATGGTCAACAAAAACGGGAATACAAAAGTTTGCCTAAAATTATCACCATGTACAATGTTAATAATATTCTTCTCGTCCTTTGTATATGATTATTACAAATCAATCATGAGAATCGTTTTGGAGTCTTCGATCCAGAAAAGTTGTAAGAAAAACTGTTATATAGATCACAGGTTACTTCTCTAGACCTCAACAGCACCCTTGCCAAACCGCAAGAATATCTAATGTGATTTTATGAGCGCGGGTGTCACTAGTAGGTCAGGGGAAATTTATCACCGGGGGATGCCATAACGTGGGCCGGCAGTTGGCTCTCGAAGCGCCGGAACAGTCCTCAACTATCGCAGGTTCATCTAGATAGCGCTAGCCTAGCTTCCAGATCATGAGATACCGGGTAAAATTTATATTCGAGTGCGGTTGCATGTAGGTGAACTGGAAAAACTGCAGGGTGCTGTATATAAAATGACGGCGATTTTAGTTGTTTTAAGACCAATTTTAATCAAGAGTTGATATGTGAAAATGAAAATGTTATTGCGCTTCGTTTACACCAACACTTGACTGCATAGATTTCAAATACAGACCGTAAAACTTTGTAAACTTTGCTTTACTCTAATCAACACTACACTACACTACTCTACACTACACTACTCTACACTACACTACTCTACACTACACTACTCTACACTACTTTACACTACACTACTCTACACTACTCTACTCTACACTACACTACTCTACTCTACTACAAAACAAAAAATATATAAAAGAATTAAAGATTAATTTTATTGCACAAAAATTGTAACAGGGACAGAGTATGGACAATTGGTATCAATTCTTCAATTGATAAAGAATAGACAATACATGCATTTTCGTAAGAAAAAAAAACAATAAACTCAACATCATTAAAAGTATATATATGCGTATCGACGGAGTATTTATGTAGTGAAAACAAGCGTTACGGAAATAATATAGGTCAAATGTGGTGTCATATGCTAGTCCTATCACGTGCTAAGCAATAAATCATTTTTGTCCCTTTGACGTCAAAGAAAAAGCCGACATTTGCATCTGATGTGTTATCCGCTACTTTTTCACTCTAGACAAATCATAAATAGTCTAAAAAAAACCCTCAATAGTACGTTTGGGAACAAGTTTGAAATTTTGTCATTTGGAAGGCTAGTCTTTTTTTGTTGTTGTTGATGGCGTTTTGCTTGGAGGTTTCGCGCGGAATTCTGGGATCGTGACCCTTGCACCTGATTGGGCGAAGGTCCTGACCTTTGGCGCGTTTTCTCCTCTAAACTCGTTATTCTACGTGCCTCACACCTACACTAATTACACATAATTGGTACCTTAAAAAGTCAACTGGCTACAATCTGAGCGATTATGACATTTCGTTGGCACCCAAAGGTTGGCGCCCCATAGCGTTCACCTTAGAAACAAGTCATAGCGAACAGATCAGAGTTTTCTTTTGAATATGACAGAGAATGGAGATGTCAATATGCCTTTGTACATTTTTCTTTCGTTAGAAAAAAAAATTGCTGGTATAGGTTCTGATTTCAAATGTTTTAAACTATCTTTGAAAAACGTATCTAACAGAAAAGTGCGTTTGTTGTAGCCTACGAACGAATTTTTTCCTAGCCATATGAAGTAAAATCAGGCTAAAATCTAGATCCAACAGCAAAACAATTTTCAGTCTTGAAATCGAAAAAAAATATTGTTTAATGCCTTGTTGAGATATATTTTACAATAATGATATGCAAAAAGTAGTACAAAAAGTTAGTTGTACATGATTTTCGTGGTATTGCTAGAACCGCTTCCACGTACATTGCATCATATTTTACCAAGCATAAAAATGATAAAATCAATTGTATCTTTCAATCTTCGTATTTTTTTAATCATTATTGGGTCAAATTTCTCCATCAACTATATACAGTCTCTGGGGTCTTTTCCTGAGAAGTCGGACTGATACAGTCAATATTTAGTATCCCCTTAGCCTTTCCACACATCAAAACAGACACCGCTATATTGACATATCCTCTCTAAGATTTGCGGTTAACATTTCAGGTTTCTTGGCACTATCCTGAAGTAGTTCCTCTATGTTTCTTGTATTGTGAGCGTTCTTACCTCAAGAGTCAAGGTCGTTAGCGACAGTGTCCGTGAAGACGTGTGGTTATTTACGTTGTGTCCCCCCAGGGAAATTAGATACGATCTGAGTTGATGAGGCCGTGATGACTTGCCGGCGCCGACCGGGGGCCTGGGTGCCTGTGTGCCGGGTGGACTGAGCCTGGCCCGACCCTACCATGTCAATGACCTCCGGACTATATCACATGTCACAAGGGGCAAGCCGCGTGGTCAGTAAATGACCACTGACCAACTGTTGTCTGTAGTTAGCTCTCAGCTCATTTGAGTACTGTAGAGTACAGGGTAGGACGTTTTAAATCGTTGTGTCTGTATCTGTATATCTGCATTGCCGTTAGAACCGCCACGTACTTTTATTTGTTGTCTACCTGAGATGTTGTTATATCCTTGCTTTGGAATATTTTTAGAAACGATATCTTCCTTCTCTTGGATCATACAGATTTATCTCTGATCACACATACGCTAACACTGTCCTGAGGAGAGATCTTTCTTTCAGGCCAAAGAAATCTGCAGTACTTTTCTCTAAACTGAAAGAAAAGTTTTGTAGATGTCCGTTGAATACGAATTGGAATTCACGAGTCGCGTTGACTGTAGGGGGGATGACTTTGTCCTCAGTTCAGTGGGCTGGCATCAATCGTTTTCCCTCCGCTTTTGGCGATAAGGCACAGATGCAATATATCACCCTGACGGTTCCTACTACCCCGTATTTGCTTTCGGGCTTGATTTGTTGCCTCTCGTGTTTTGTCCTGGATTCCATGACAGCGCAGTGATGGCGCCTGCCGGTAGGGGGCAGCACTGAGCGACGTCCCTGTCCGTAAAAGGCTGCGGCGCGCGTCTTCCTGTAGTAGTAAAAAAAAACGACAAAACAAGAAAACGTTAGGAAAACGATTCTCACTTCTCAGAAGTCGCCCCGGCTGAATATCGTGCGTTAATTGCGCCCCGTCTGTCCCGGGATTGATTGAGTGTGTTCATTTTTGGCGCTGCGTGGAGAGAAAATCGACGTCGGTAGTATTGGCGGCAGCGTTCTACCATCCATGACTAATGGCGACATAAATCGCCCCTACCGTGAACTCTCAATGAAATATAGCAGGTTGTAGCTAGGTGAATGCCGGGCCGGTGTCCTCCGGTTCACCCCGGCTATACTCGTGTTTATTTTGATGATAGTACGCACCTGTATACAACACGGATATAACGTATTACTCATGTGTAGATGTGTTATATATAGAGAGGGGTTGTGTTTGTTGGAAAAGGGGGATTTTGAAGTTACCATGCCAACACGAATTTTTGGGCGTAGTATGCAGGGAAAGGAAAACAACCTGCTCTACGTCATGTTTTTTGTTGCATACTTAGCGATTCCCTGGTTTGCCATTGGTTGATGAGTGTCATGTGACCAAATCAGCAAATAAACGTGCATGTTCTCTATTGCTTTTATTTATAGGCATCGTAATGGGCGTAAAGCTCGGGAAACCCGTGGCCTGAGACTCAACTGTCAAAACACGGCTATGATGACATCGTCCGGGACGGTCAACCCTTACTTCGTGGACTCTTTGATTACAAATGTTGGAGACGACGTGTTTAAAGTACGGGGAGAGGACCCACGACTAGGCCTGCCCTTGTGGAGACGAGGAAACGGCGGGCAGCCCAGTGGCTTTCCGAACTGTTCGTACTCCAATAGTGCAGGAGCGTCGTTCTACTATCATCAGTCACCGGAGCGGTCCAACACAGTGTCCTGCCTGTACCCTGCCGCCTACCTGCCGCCCCGCCATCTACCGAACGACGGTACAGTAACAGACGGCATCAACCCCTGGTCAGACCCCGTGCCAAACAATCAGCAACACGCCGGCAACTCCTACTGCAACGGCACCGCCGGTCTCCACGCTTCCGCCATGCAGGTCTACAACAAGACCTCGGACACCGAGGCCGGCAAGACCACAGCCCATCCTGGCTACGGCGGCTACTCCCAGTCCTACAGGGACCTGCAAGCTCAGGGAATCAGCCTCGTCGACGGACAGATGAAGGTGAAAGCCGAGCAGGAAAGCCCAAAGAACGGAGAAGACAAGAACGGTGAGACCCTTTTACTATGCCGTAGTACGAACCCTACCCCTTGATTCCTCAGTTCGCGTAGTACTATAAACCTCCCATTCACCCGTGGCGTGTAGGGTAATAGCGCATACGGTAATGGCCCAGGCGCTAGCACGACCGATACACCACGCCGCACCGCGAACATTTGAACTTGAAGCGGGAAAAAAATCCAGGTTAAATAATGCAAAACAACGCCGGGCCTGGCCAACTGGGCCAAACGTAAGGCGACCTCTTGAGTCCACGAGTTTTTTATGGGGTACACACAACATGGCGGCCACGCGGGGACAGGGCCCAACCTTCCCTACATTATAGGATTACTGACCAGATTTATGTTCCCACTAGGCATAGAGGTTCCATCTGATGAAAACACGTGATCGATTTGCCATAAAAACCCCTTTTTTTCCTCACCATTTCCTCCTATCCTTTGTCTACAGTGTATCTGTTCTGTGTGTACGGTGCGTTGTGATCTACTAACACATTTCTGTGTTTGTGTTTTTGTTGTGTTTCTTCTCGTTAGGAGCAGCGGTGGTGGCGAATCAGCCAGGCTGGATGAACAATCATTCGTCCCGGAAGAAGCGGTGTCCCTACACGCGCTTCCAGACCCTGGAGCTGGAGAAGGAGTTTCTGTACAACATGTACCTCACGCGAGAGCGGCGCTACGAGATCTCGCAACACGTCAACTTGACCGAGAGGCAGGTCAAGATCTGGTTCCAAAACAGGAGGATGAAGATGAAGAAAATGAGCAAGCAGCGACAGGAGCAGCAGCAAACCACGCCGCAGTAGCGCCAGGGTTTCTTCCGGCGTTGGTGGGATGCTTGCTCGATCAGTGACAAATACTGTACCCTGGCGCAAGCCATCAAATATCTCAGGTTCAAAAAAACAAGCACTGAACTCAATTCACTACCTCAGTTAATCAACAAAGAGAAGACATTCTCTTGTGAAATGGGCTTCGCTATTTACCAATTTTTGATGTACAAAAACCAAATCATAAGTTATGGTGTGTGTATATATATTCTATCTAAACCACGGAAAAATGTCTATATCACTTGTAGTGTTAGTTTATTAAACGGTAGGTCGGAAATTTAGAGGATATTATTCGTATCAAAAACACGGGTATATGTGAGCACTTTTGCTTAATCTTTGTTGTTTACCACTATCTAACTTTTATATTTCTATGTTTTGTGTCACTTAAAACGTTATTTCCTTTTTTTATTTTCCTAAATATGTTCTTATTTATAATCTAATAATTCGGTGACTTTGCAGGTTTCTATCTTGTTCATAAAACTATATGAACTTGAAAATAGGTTAGATGATTTTTGTTTTAACTTAAAGCGTTGCTGTGTTGTTGCGTCTATCGTGTTATAATATAAGGGTATTTGTTCACAGTGCAATTTATTGGCGACTTTCTGTGGTATAAAAGGCGTAACAACGAAGGGTCACGCATTTAACCTCTTCAGTATTATTCCAGTAGGTGTGAACCCATTTTTGAGGGAAATTCTAGTAAGAAAAAAAGAAAGCCGTGTATGTGAATCTGACTCGTAAGCGCACAGAAAAGTATTAACCGTATTTGTCTTTGTAAATGTACTATGTTATACTTTAAAGAAATGAGAAAAGAATATCAGTTCAGTGACTCAGTGAAGATAATAATGTTATTTACCTCAAGGAATCGTTTGCAGATAATCAGTAAGACCAGTGCTATTTTCATGTTGACCCAAATACGAGCTTAAAGAGTCAGTTACAATTGAAATCGAGACATTTTGTCAAGCGTAAACCATTCTCAATTGAATCTATAGAGACTTTGGTATGGTACAGTGGAAGATAACTTTGAAAGCAACGTTTGCAATGACATCACCAAATGCTGTGCACATGTTCCAAGTTACGTAATCAACATTTGTAGTTGATTTAACGTCAAATCATTTCACCAGATGGTTCTAATCGTTTCAGTCAAACGAAAGACGACTTAAACTGATCCAGAACACGCTGCAATGTTGTTCTTGGGTAAAAAACGAAAACGATCTAAATTGTTCCAGAACACGTTGCAGTGTTTTCTTAGGTATAAAAAAACACAACTCTCTTACACTATTTACTAAATGTGCTAAGGCATGACAGAGCTTTCGTGTAAAAAAAAATCTCAATTACAATTGTAACTGACTGAATTCTACCAATGAATGTTCGAACATTTCCATTTTTGTACTTCAACTAAACCAAATATCAGTGCTTTTTTACAAGAATCTACTTGATGTAAAGGGCAAATATTTACAAGAAATTGTAATTCTTACACAGACATATTGACATTTGTCAACAATGTTACTGAGAAGTTGTTAAAAATGCCATTTTCTAACCCAAATAGGAAGACAAAAGTGTACGGGAGAAGCTACTAAATAGGTGCATGAGATATATCCGGTGGTATACTGTGTAAGTTGGAGAATGAGTACATGTGTACAGGGTCTGTGCACCGTCCTATGTTCAATAATAATCTCAGGGTGATCGTGTGTATGTAGTTTATAGAGCCTTCGTTCCAATTGTTCAAGAACAGAAGGCAGTGCCATAGCGTTTAGCTAGCCATTTAACCAACCAAAACAAAAACCATGCTTCCACGAACAAAAAATAAAATAATGACGGTTGAATAAAAGTGAGAAGTAGGTTTGTTGTGTTTCATGTATTACAGAAAGATGGTTTTGCCAATTCCCTTTTTAGATGAAAAATATTGAATGTATCAGGGAAAAATAAAAACCATCTGAGTTACAATCAAACCATGGCTCCAGTGTGTTCCTATTTTTTTCACAATTTAGCTCTAGTAGCTCAAGATGATCCCATCTTCCTTCCAACAAGCGACCATCCGTATCCAAACCCTCCCCCAAAGAATAATCCATTGCTGAATAAACATCTATCGGAAGCCCCCCTCCCCCATACGAGGGTAAGTTTTACCACACGTTGTGCACATGACAGTCCAACTTATGTGCCAACATCACTACTACTTTACGTGCTTCGCTGAGCAAAAATAATGAAAAAAAAAAGTGGACAAAAACAAGAGATTTTCACCAAGCAGTTTGGGCTTCGGCTTATTTTTGGCGTGTTTTCGGCGTTGTTTTTTTTTTTTTTGTACCGGTATGCTGGTACAAAAAAATACTCTAGTACCTGTACAAAAAAAGAGAGCCCAATGAAATGCTTTAAAAAAACACGCCAAAAATAAGTCAAAGCACAAACCTCTGATTGTAGAGTAGAAGATTGCCACGAAGCTATCCTGCGATTGTTTCTGGTGAAGTTGTGAAATGATGACAATGCCCACCTCCCACCGATACACTTCCTCTCACTATTTCCTGTATGTGTTCGCAGAAAAGAGGAGGAAACCACAGTAGTGTCCTCCAGATTTTCCTGTGGACAAAATAATTTTTAAAAAATATGCACATGCCTCAAAAATAGCGAAAGCGCGCACTCTAAGGCCTACCAACAACTTCTGGCAAAACAATTCCTCCTATTTGGCCTTCCTTGTTATTTCAGTGAGCCCCTTGCACGGGATGTACGTACTTGGGAGACGCACGGTTCTTTCCGCTGTGAAGCTCGGGGGGAATTGGGGTCACTCTCTGTTCGTACACCGTGGCTAACTCCATCTGTTCAGACCTCCCCCTCACGAATTACAAGTACAGCGTAAAATACTGCTATTAAACCACGTGAAAAAATTATGAATCCAGAAATGAAAAAAAAAACGCATGGTAAGAATAGCCAGAAACAAGCGAGAAAAGCACTACAAAAATGACACTGAAAATCGTGCAAGGAAGAGTTTTTTGCCGGCGATTTTGTAGGACACACACCTCGAAAAAACACCCCCACGAGATTCAGATGGTATCTTCCTAAAGCCGGGGACATTTTCCCAGGAGACTTAGAGGTGGACCCGTTTTGACAACCACACAAATTTTCCCGCCAAAAAAGACACCCACAACGCCCGAATTCGTGCTACAACGATACCAACTTCAAGTTTATGAGAAAAGTTTTCATCGTAGCAAGCTTATTGTCACGTGGACAGTACTTATATATTTATTCTAACTTACTACAGTTATGACGTCATGAAACGACTCATTTACATATTCCACCCAGATTCTTATGAATGAAAATTAAAAACTTAAATAAAAGCTATGAAATCCCGCAAAACACTAAGATTTGTGTGCGAAAATCCGATACGGAAACTGCCGAAATTATCACCAATTACCCAGAAGTCTCTTTTTTGGACTGTAGCCTAGAATACGGGACATCTTTGCAGCGGCTAGACAAAGAACAAAAAAATCCTTGATTTTTCTACAGAACTAGAGGTAAAATCGGCCAGCTTCTTTCACACAGTTGTTGGTAATAGCATCACAAGCCTAGAAACTATTGTTGTTTTACTTTAAGCATTAGCGATGAAAAGATTTCGTTAACTTTTTATTAGAAAATCAGTGACCGCTTTGTTCGACTTCCACTGTATGTGCACCTTGGCGGCAAAATTACCGGAAACTACGAGAAAAACATATGTTTTCAGTAAAACCAAAACACAACAGCATTCAGTACCATTCCTCAACTTACATGATCCGTAAACTACCTGTTAGAATAGTTCAAGTAGATCTTGGTATCAATTTTATTCTGTTCTACAGAAAACTTGCGTTCAAAGGCCCAACCTTCCGAATAACAATGCGTTCCCTACACTGGCGCCAGAAAAAATTAAATATGTGTTACCACATTAACGTATTGGACATTAGCTGCAAGGGTGAAGCAAAAGCCAGAAATTATCATTGTACAACCACACAAAGACAATGTTTTGAAGGAAAGGTTTGAGCGCATCAAGCTAGACTATCTGTAGACTCGATATACAATTACAGTTGCCTACATTCTAGAGTTGAGTCTACGGTAGCCTCCGTAGCAGGCTTTAGAACTGGGGGTTTGGTGGTCTTCGACTGTTTTCTGACAAAAAACGGGGGTAATTCAACCAGGCCAGCTATGTTGTCTATATGCAAAAAATATGCACATAAAAGATCCCAAAGACCCTGAAGACCCCCAAAAAAAGTTTTTGGCGTGCTATGGAGGCTAAGTCTATATATGACATCATTCTGGCTTCTAAACGTTCCAAATTGTCTATATAACTTAAAAGCGAAGTTTTGTTCAAAACGGAGTTTTTTAGGCTTTAGAAGAATCATCAAGAGAATCCGTTGTTGTGCCGATCTAATGGATTCCGTATGGCTGTAACCATGTGCAGAGGTAAGGCATTTTTACTTCGTGTCAAATCTACATAGACCACACCTGTTGTACAAACTAAACAAAACAAAACGACATCGCATTCGTAGTTACCACTCCTCTACTGTTCAATAATCCTTTGGTAAGAAGAAAATGCCTAAGATAATCTTAATTTGGATTATTTACTTTCACATGCCATGTAGTTTAGACAAGAAAACCGATATAATACAGGCATCTTCAGAAATTAAAAAAACACTCTTCTACTCGAGGAAGTTCGACACAACCATTTTTACACAAGGACCAAAAAGATATTATCCTTTCTTATAAGGTGTCATCCCTAAAATTATTTTTGATGATTTTGCGAAACTTTTAGATCCTAGTATAGCTTTTAATGGGATTATAGGGAAAATATAACATTAACACAGTATTTTGCCCCCCCTCCCCTGGAACAAGTAAGGTAAGTGTTTTGGTAAGTGACATGTTCTCTTGTTTTTTTCTTGCAATTCTAGATTTTTTCACGATAGTGAACTTTTAAAACAACATACCACACACTAAATGTGCCTTTACCTGAAATCACAATCAAACTATCAGCAAGTATCATCAAGTTTTTAATATAAAACGCATCTGGGCGAGACAAAATTTAAACTACTTATGTTTTGATTTCGAACAGTACACTTTACACATTGCACTTGTTGTACGTATGTATTAGTTGTGAAGTCGTTCCGATTTAAAAATCTACTTCGTCCGTAAGTTTTGTTAAACATTTTTATCGTGGTGGTGTAAAAATGCGTTGCTATTTTAACTAATGTACAACACAACACTGTATATGTATTATTAATATTACTACATGTGTGCTACTGAATAGTATAATGTGTTACTTCCAACACAGATTTAAAAAATTCAAATTTTACCTGTATTTTTCTAACACGCAAAAAAGTTCTATAACCCCTTTTAACATGGCCGACACATTTTCCTTTCATTTTCGTTTTTCATTTCGACATTATTGCTGTTAAAGTAAGCAAATTTTCTCATCGATAAAATGTGTACAAAGTACTAGATTCTTTACAGTTTTTTTACGAACAACTTAATGGCCCGATGGCAAGTCATACAATATTTATTGTAAACAATATGATTGTAATACCTGTAGGAAATATGGTACGTTGGGCTAACAAACAATCTATTCACATCTATCCTCATTGTAATAATTTTTTAAAGTCTGTACAGTGAACATGCAACTATATTATGAAAAATACATTTTCTTTCAAGCCACATATAACACCTAGACAAACATTAGGCAATACTTTAGTACATATACGGTTGGTTCTAAAAAATGGTGAAATGGAGTACGCACTTGATGAATAAAGCTGTAAAAGATATACAGAAATTTACAGTTTGGTTTTGTCTCGCAACAGGAGAAGAAAAATAACAAGCGCTGGTTTTGTTTCTTTCTGAATAGATTTTCGTGTTACTCTTACTTCCCTGTCGATAGGAACGGAGATATACTTGTGTTACTTGATGTAGTACTTAATGCTTTTACCTGCTTGTCGGTTTAGGTTACGTTTTTGACAGAAAAAAAGTGTGAACATGTTTCACGTTTCTTTTGGTTTATTGAGGTTTGTTTTTTTGGTGAATCTTTCTGGCTTACAAAATTGGTTTTGGTTGTTGTTGTTTTTTTGGCAAGGGGGGGGGAGTTGTAAGCCGAAATTTAACCTACGCTACCTTTACTTGATTTAACTGCGTTTTTAGCGTGTAGGTTCATGTTCTTTCTCTTCTCACTCTTAAAAGTTATGAATCTTCATGAAAATGCGTGGAATACACACACACACACACACACACACACACACACACACACACACACACACACACACATACATACATACATACACAACAGTATAGAAGAGAGTTGAGTAAAGTAGAATCGACGGTTAGTTTTTTTACCACCTTTCGTGTTGTAATAAACAAAAAAGTCACTCACGAAAAATATAACCAAAAGGCCACCCTAACTGTACACAGCATGCATAGTTGACCAATAAAGAAGATAGGTCCTGTAAATTTATTTTAAAACTACGCACTTGCAAACTGTATGTAGTTGGAGAGAGACATTCTCTTCTTCACAAGTTCCGAAGAGAACCCCACTTTCTGTCTATGCACAGATAACACAACAAGGTATAGGGTAGTGCGCACCGACACCAATAAAGAAGATAGGTCCTGTAAATTTATTTTAAAACTACGCACTTGCAAACTGTATGTAGTTGGAGAGAGACAGTATTTCTGTTCAATACGAAGCAACGTTAACACACGAATTCTGTAATGCGTAAAGAAAATCCAACGTTTTCACCAGCAATGAGAGGTGCTGTAAAATCACCACAACTGGAACGTTTTATAGCTGATGTTTAATGTGGACCACACAGTTCGATGTACTTAGGCTTGCCTTGCCAAGTTGCGTGCTACAAGTGTGACAAAGGTCGCTATGGTCAGGGCAAGGGATCATCACACGTGCTCTTGGGAATTAGTACACACCATATACTATCCACACAAATCACATAAGCATCCGGATACACACACTTTTAATACGATGTAACATGGAGACATGGAAGCTTGTTTGTTTGTTTCTTTGTTTTTCCGGTTGTTTGTGTACAGTTTGTGATGTTTTGTAAACATAGTTGCAGCAGGTGCGTTCTTGTAAAACGTGCTATGATTTTCCTTAGTATCGCAGTAAATTTCAGGTCTTGAGTTAGTATAACATTTAAAAATACGGTTAGAATAAAACCTGCCATCAATTTGTGAAACTTTCCTGACCAACGCTTTAGTGTATCAAACAAATAAGTACAAATTATTTTACAAAATTGACCACCTTATTGAAGATACAGCTTCATGAAGCATCGTTTAAAGTACTCCTAACTCCAAAGTTTACTAGATCCATTGATTGACTTTACAGTAATGTCAGTGGAACCAGAAATACCAGCAAACATATACATAGCAACCCGTCATTTCAAAACGCTTTTTGAAGCAGATATTATATGGCATAAAATGGATGTTTCCATTTTGAAATGGCTGACACTTTTACGACAATCTCTTGCTTGCTTTTCGTCCACTTGGATTTTCTTACAAAGCAAAACTACTGTAAATTTATAATCTTACTTTATACGATTTGTGACACTGCCGTCCTTTAAGTATCGAAGAAGTGTATAAAGCGCATTTTCTAGAGTGTACCGGATAGCTAGGTACCTCTGGATAAATCTAGATATTAAGAAAAGACACAAAACATAAATGTAGCTTAAAGTAGAATCATCGACCAGGCACGGACGCTCACATTTTTATGTGTAAAATATCAAAGCAATTCTGAATCCAAATTTTCCCAATTCAAAGCACTCCGAACTCCAAAATAGAGAAACCATTATGCAAAAAGCACCAAAAAACGAATCTTACTCCAAATTCCAAAATAGAGAAGCCATCATGCAAAGAGCACTGATGTTACATATTTCGGTTACAAAATTGGTTGTTTTTACTCAAAAAAAATACTTTTTATAAAACATACAAGAACTTGTGTTTCATTCAAATTTATAATCTTTGCATATTTCTTGTTGTTTATGTCTAATAAATTTGATAGAAGAGCTATATATACGATTACAAGAAGTTTGTGTTATGCCGTGTGTGGCTCCAAGTACAGGACGGGAAGTTTTTTTCGCCCAGGATTTTCTGGCCGGTCCCTCGTCACCCAAATGGTAACGCAACGCCCTCTATCTCGCAGCGAGAGAAGGGAAATAGCAACAGCCTTCAACTTCCAGCAGTCTGGTCTCAACGACTGTCAACCGAACCACGTCACATTTACTCTTCTTCAAACTCATCATTTTAAGAATAAAAATCATACACAACTTCATATTTTTTATAGATAAATGTTTTCTACGAACTCTCGCTCAACTAAGGTTTGTATATAAAAACTTTCGCAACAAGGACGAGCTTCGATGCTTCGAAGAGAGGAATCAAGTTGCAGAGAAGACTTGTTGTAGACAGAATCACGACTTTTTGCCTGTCTTCTAAAAGTTGGCACTGGAATTGTTTTTATTAGGGGTACCGACTAAACAATGACCTGAAATACTAGAGTGTTTGGATGAAGTTATATTTAGTTGCAAGTAACTATGACCATATGGAGTTTTCTACACAAGAACACTTTCTGAACGCATTCTGTTTTCTCTCGCAGAATCTACCCGCTAACTAGAAGAATTTATCTTCGTTTAAAGCGATTTATCTGCACATTACCCCTCTCCTTGATTTAGGTCTATGGCGACTAGTGTGCCCACAGTCTTTGCAATTAGCACTCCCTAAACTGCGAGTAAAATTGGCGCGGATAACGATGAAAAATACCAAATGTCGCGATAGGTGAACAAAAAAGTGGAACGCAGAGAAATATTTACCTCGTTGTAGAAAACAGCTAGGTCAGCTGAATGATTAACTTCTAACTTATGTTTATGAATTCTACTTTTAATGTTAACGTTATGCTTATGAATTTTTGTGGAAGGTTTGGATATTACATACAAGGAAATGTGCATGTATGTATGAGAACCGATACATTTTTACTGAGAGGGACATCAAATCAAATTCTCCAAATACTTAACATCTGAAAATAAACAATATCATATTGATGAGCAGAATGACAAGATGATATATGTGCTGTTTTACTCCACATGTCATAGGAGATATCAAGTATCAAACTCGTGAATATCAGTATACAAACATTGTATGGGATATATATAGGTATCGGGAGGTATGTTTTTCAGTATTTTTGTTTGTATCAACAATAGTATCGAACTCGAAAGCATCAATAAGCAATAAGCTCAAAGGTAGATGAATGATATTAGAGAGAAGAGCCCAAAACTTTGTATGATGTCAAAACGTGGGTTTTGGGAAAGAAAACCACACCCCAACATTTCCAATTCTGCCTTGTCTTCCAAAGTCATCTGTAAGTGTCAACCCGCCTCTGCACGTAATGGAAAAATGCGGCATAGATGAATAGCATTTTTACGAAACACTGAACATCCCACAAAGTATGGCACATGATTGGGGACATGTCAATACGCCGAATTGAACAATTTACAGTCTGTAAAAGTGGGATATCGAAGAAATGACTTCAAGTCTTGTCATCCGTCAACGTGTCAGGGGGGTGTGCTGGCATTGCCAGTCAAGATCGATCATCAACCTGGTGCGGATCGGTCTTGAACTTGAAGGTAGACAGGGCTCACCTGTCATCGGGACGACGTCAACATAATATAGGGTTAAAATCGTGCGGAGTTCGGCGGAGCTGGTTACTACGGGGTTCAACTCGCGGAGAGTTCCCCCCACACAACTTGTCCGACGTTAGGAGATGGGGGATTTGCTCGGGTCAATACTTTGGGCAAGATATTCTTGTTCGCCATAAGAGGCGGGGAGCCGCTCTCATTGGCGCGTCCACGTCATTCAATCTGGCTGGCAGAAAACCTACTACAGGACGATCAGGTAATGACGTGCTCGCTCACTTTGGTTTTTCTCCCAATCCCTTTTTATAAGCCTGAGGGCCGGGAGACTTCGTAGGCAAGCGGTGTTCAGCAGTTTCTTTAATCGTCGCCTCAGGTACGTACGTTAAACTCCCATGCTAAGTCTAATGCAGACCTCGTCAAGACTAATGTCGGGGTCTGATTTTCATGTCCAGGTATGTGGATATATATATATATTAGGGGGCATTTTTCTCAAATTTATATCAATTCTGACCTTAGGTATGTCCCTTTCGTTCAATCATAAACCGCATGTGAATATACGGTTGTAGACAGTGATTTCTTTAAATCGTAGATTTCTTTTCATATTTTTCTTCTGATGTAATTGACTAGTCTTTTCTTACCCTGATCAATATAAGACATAATGTAGTTAGAAGTAATAGAGTAGCTTGGTTAATGTAGTTGCATGATGTGGTAAAACACGTACTGCGGTTTGGGGAAAAGGAGACAGTGTTGAAGGTTTTATTATTCTCTCAGTCCACGTTCCAAACTCCTCTGGGCAGTTTCGTTTACGGTTGTAATCCGCACACAGTCAGGGCGGAGTAGTAAAAACCAACTGGTGTCCAACTTTCACCAGCGTTCCACAAATATTTAGCGAATTCAAACTCTTTTGTACAATCAAAACATATCTTACAAATTAAAACATTCAAGGAATATGTGCCCAGATGTTACTGGCAAAAAAAACACAAAGAAAGACAAAAAAAGACTCTACTTTAAAGAGAGAGACTAAAAAAGGAGATTCTTGACCAAGAGTTGGAATCGTGGCATTGTGATATGTTTCTTTGGTTCGAAGGTCAAGTTAAAAACAGAAAAAGTGGGAGGGACTAGTCCTGGTGGTTCCACGTGTAGGAAATAGTGATGTTTATAAAAATCTGCCGGGAATTCTTCTAAGAGAAAGCGTTGAAATGTTTTTCTAGTACGCTTTTCTACCCCAAAACGCATTGCAGATTCGGGCACTGTGTAACCAACCTGTATATGGTACCAGACACTGAAAAATCTACTTGGACGCAGATATCCTGAACATTTTGCGTTGTAGAGGAAAAACAATATTGTTAGAAATCAGGTCCCATAACATAAAAAGCAACAATTTTGGTCTACTCTCTTCGCTTTTTACACTGCTTCAAAATGAAGAATTCCCACAAATTTAGCCTTTACCTTGTTCGCGGAATCTATATCCTTCCAAGTAATCTGAAGTAACTCAACAGAGACTTCCAGTGATACTACGGTATCAGTCTGTATCAGCGATACACCGTGTTAGATGGTACTCCAATGAGCAGTAATGCAATAAAACCTTCACATGTATCTAGATTTGGTACAGAAAGTATTTCGTCGGGAGATTCAGGTACAGATTTCGAGTAGAAGTGGAGTAGATTTCTTTTGTGGGGGTCGCGGAGTCAAAGATGCGGCTTTGGGAAGCGCGTGGCAACAGTTTTGTTCAAAGCATTGATCTCACTGCTCGTTTTCAACTGGGCTGCAGAGAAGTATTTCAACATAGCACTGATCGTTGAGAAATACACGGGACGAACTGATTGGCAATTTCCTCGGCATGATAAAACCCTGTCCGCGGGCATTACGGATAACAGCTACACAATCCCTCTATAAACCCCACGTAAAACTCAGTAACGTGTTTTTCTTCTCCTACGTTAATGTCCTAGGTGTAAAACACAGACATACGCCTCTAGGTCTTCTTCAACAGACATTTGTAGCAAAACTTCTTCTTAGATGTTACTGATAACAAAATACTTTAAACCCCTCAGTAGGGTTATGACATGAAGTTATTGACGATATTGGGTAGAGTTGGAAAATGTTTGCTAAAAAAACTTACTTCGGGTAACTTCTGGGTGTTGTTTCCGATTTCTTGTGAAAGTTGGTTTTCACCAATGCATTTCTTCATCTGTATTTCTGTCTCTGTCTGACTAGTGGTGTTGGTTTGAGTGAGAGAATTGCAGGCTTGGGACCACGATGCAGTAGTCGACACCTGATTACTACAACGCCAGAGCGAAGAAGTGACGATTTTCTCACCATCTTCTAGAGACTTGCGATGAGTTCGTACCTCAACAACACCATGTACCAAAGAGGAGAGACATTTCCACACGCGGGTGTGAATTCTACGGTGGGAAACCATCACCCGTACTACAGTAGCTGGTACGGGTACCCGGCCAACTTTCGCGCGGACAGAGACAACGTGTCGCCCGGGTGTACCTATGCTGCCGCCGCTGGTGTAGTCGGGAACCACGGTCAAGTTCAGGACACTCAGGCGCCGGAGAACTGTTGTTGGAACGGGCAGGAGCAAGGTGCTCCTTCGGCAGTGCAGCAGCGACCGTCATGCCAACAGGAAGAAAAAACAGCCACGATGGGAATGGCAACACAATCTCAACTCGCTATTCCATTCTATCCTTGGATGCGTACAGCAGGTAAATCATCCAGGAATCTTCTTAAAGTTGTTACCACGATCATATCCATACTGTAGATGTCATACCAATGCCATGTCCATGAAGGTTAGACATCTAGGTAATGACATACACATGAAAATAGAGACTCAAAAAACTGAATAGATTTTGAAAACTGCCAGACGTTTCAAGGAGCAGCCACTACTTGTCTTCAGTAAAACGTCTGACAGTTTTCAAAACCTATCCAGTTGCTTGAGTACCTGTTTTGTTGTGAATGTCATGTACATTTTACATCAACGTGTGTCACTTCGACTGCCTACTTGTGACTACGCGTTGAACAGCTTTGCTTGCTAGCTTTTTCCCCTTTTATTAGTAGTTGGGTGGGACCTATACTGGTGAATTTATGCCTTTTAAAACGTTTTCTTAACGTCAGGTTGTCGTGAGAGTAATTGTCTTCGCTGTAAATTACCAACTAGCCATTATGACGGTCACGGAAAAAGTCTACAAGCGTTCAGAGCCAAGTGCCACACACCAACGATGACATATGGCAGATCGCGAAGGAGAAAATTGAAATTGCTCTTGCTTCGTAAGAGAACCAACCTCTGCTTTTTCAGAACTATTAATCTAGTCCAACAAAAAAAGTTTCCCAAACAAAAGAAGGAAAGTACATTTCAACAATGGCACAGCCGCCAAAACGTTGTGTTTATCATCATAGTCAGTGTCAAGATCGACGACTATGAGTGGATACGAGCAACATGTACCTAGACCATGTTTACTACAAATGTACCATTTTGTATACACGTTTATGTGTGAAAGTTAACTGCAATTCGAGTGTTTTGAGTGTCAAAAATTAGCACGGTTCAGTATTTTACTACCAATTCTAAGTGAAGACATTTCAGTAAAGAAAATCATAGTATATAGACATTGACAGAATGTCTGTCCACATTTTGTTGATATCTTTACGTTAGATGAACAGGTTGAATATATAGGTACTAAATCTTCCTTTGTACGTTGTTATTTGGTTGTTTTCTCCGACTATTGTCTGTATATTTAATTAGGAAAACAGCAAAACAAGTAAAACACACAGATTTCTATCGCTACTTTGCTATGCGCGGCCACAACTAAAAGAGATCTTCCTACTACTAGTACCTGGCCGACTGAATCTCACTCTACCCCTACTCTACTCTACTCTACATGTTGCTTCTAGGAATATACGTTGGCGATATGAAAAAAAAAGTATATTTTAACCTGTATTTCGCTTGTTTACACAAGTAAAGTCTATCTGTACTCTACTCTACTCTACTCTACAAGTTACTTCTATGAATATACGTTGGTGATATAGAAAAAGTATCTTTTAACCTTTGTTTTGCTTGTTAATACAAGCAAAGTCTTTGACACAACTACATATATGTTTGCTGTCTCTTTGAAGATAAAACAAAAGTTAGATCGCAAAATCCAGAAGGAAGTGTCAAATTTCTAACTTGTTTTAAAAGATCGCTACTCTACCCATGTATGTCTTGGCAAAGAAATTTAACAAAGAAATTCAACTTTCGAAAATAGAAAAATTAGATACAAGTAACATGAGGTATTGGTCTAAAGTGTTGTGGTATACTAGCTTTCGTTTTGGCTTGTTTCATGTTGTGTTCATATTTTGTATCTGTAATGTGTATAAGCATGGTAGAAGTGTATCTTTCTCTGCTGTATACTGGCATATATATGCTTGTGTATACTTGTGTCAGAAGCTCTGAGGAAGGTGTCTGATAGACATTGAAACGTAAGCAGGTGAGATACCTTACGGGTTGTGTAAGAAGAAAATCCTTAGATCCTATGTCCTACCAACCTGATGAATTTTTTTTCAAATTTGTGTTTGCCGTGTCTGTGTTTTTTTATTATTATTATTATTATTCAAAGAAACAATGAAAGAAAAGGACGAAGACGAAGTGGCAGCCTACTCAAGTTGTGTACAACTTTTATTCTAGTCGCCACTTGTACATTCAAAATGAAATGTTTGACAAGTCACTAAAACAATACATGTAAATACAATAGCTTTAATGTACGCGAGTCTGAACCCATCCCCCCATGAAAGAAAGTATAAAGAACATGGAAGACTAAAAATGTTTTGTTGCTATGATGTGTTGTTGTTTATTGTTTGTGTTTACTACAGGACCAGAACGTCGACGTGGGCGTCAGACATACAGTCGGTACCAGACCCTGGAACTGGAGAAGGAATTCCACTTCAACAAGTACCTTACCCGCAGAAGGCGCATAGAGATCGCGCATGCCCTGGGCTTGACAGAGCGACAGATCAAGATCTGGTTCCAAAACCGGCGGATGAAACTCAAGAAAGAAGCCGCCATGTTATGCCCACCTAAAGCCGAAGAAACTGAGAAAAACTCCGACGGACAGTCGGAAAAATCAGAAGAAGTGTAGCTCAAGGGTTATCTAACCTAAATGTTGCCAAAAATCATGTGAAGATATAGCCGTAAGATGACAGTTTGTAATGTGTCAGGATAAGAATGGACTGTGCTTACCCGTGTCAATGGAATATGAATGGAACATATTTGTATAAAATGTATGAAGTTACTATAAGGAAAATTGGAATCAAGGTTACTCAAATATTACGAGAACTTCCAAAGATGTTAACTCTAATTTTGAGCTGCAAGTGACTTAACGTAATGTCTTAAAAGAGGTGTGAAAGAACAAAGCTTCGCTGTATCTTCGTTTAGGTCACCTAAAAATAAAACACCTACAATCTAGTTACACATTTACACTCAGTGAGGATTTGTGAGTCAAGTTATATCCCATTCAAATGTAATCACTTAAACATGATGCTGCAAAAAAAGAAAATGTAAAAAAATCATATCAAAACTCAATTTGTGTAGAAATCTACATCATGTAAATGTCATGCGTCGATTTTAGACCATTTCATGCATTCCAAGTGCACTTGTCAACTTATATTGTTTGTCATGGTTTTGTTGTTGTTGTCGTATTCATATTATGTTAGTAACATACGTACGGTTGCTTTGTATGATTTGTTTTTCAAAAGCATGGGTGCCAATGTGTATTCGCTGCAAAGTCGATGTTTCTATACCGTATGTGGTTGTTGCTTCTTGCAGGTAAAAAAACATGCGATGTGGAAATGTTAAGATGTATATGTATTTATTGGAAGAATATCTATGTGAACAAAAATGTATGGAATAACTTGAAATCGAAGACAACCATGTCCGTCTATTATTTTGCCTCTTTGATTCAAGGTATAATATCTATAAACTTTACTCTCATATCTAAAACTAGCATAACAATACTTGTTGAAAAAATACTTTTGACACCATCTAATTTAGCAACTGTTTTTATATAAGTAAATATAAGTAAAGTATGAAAGATACACTTTTAAGTATAAGAAATAGGTACAGTCGGAGTACATATAATACGTTACGTATAAAGTATACTATTGTCTATACATTAGGTGCAATGTAACTAACTTGCCATACTTAACGTAGATTGCAGAATAAGTTTATTTAGAAAGAAAGCCAAATTATTCCTATGTTCTTTCACAGAAAGTCAGCAAAAATCTTTCGTAGCCTCCACCAGGCCTTGTTAAGGGGTTATGGATTGTAGAATCGGGTTAAAATAGAGTCAATAATTAGCCAGCAGAGTTAGCAATAGTAATGGTAACAAGCACTCCTTGGTAGATTGTTCTTCCTATAGCGTAGTTAGCCTGGTGTAGACTACATTTTGGCCAATGTGGACGGTGAAGACACTCGCGCAACATCTTCAAAAGGTTATTGTAGACTTCTAGGACAGATGATACACAAGTGCTGTAAGGTTGATGTAGAAAGGTCTACACAATTTGCACTTTAAAAGGCGGTTGAAGTATTTCTTGTCCCCCACGGCTTAGACCGAGAGAGAAAAATTGGTAGTTTTCCATTCAGAACTGCGAAATTGACGAATGCATCTTCTCCAAGCCGAATTACCATTTTTATTCGCTCGGTAACTTTCAAGTCACGAAATTGTAATTCAAAAAGATGCCCGTACCTGCTTCATCGCTTGGGGGATTTGGAATTGACTTGGTGAAGAGAGGGTCATAAAGGTGATAGACAGGGCACACACGAAGCTGAAGTGTTGTTCTTGGTCCTGTTAGTTTCTTGTGAAAATGTTATGTACTACTAGTATACACCTCTACTCTATGAAAGAGTACATACCTACGGTATGAGTTTGCGAACTTCAATCCAAGATGGCGGACTTGTTCACACACAAAACAAATAGCGGACTGATTTCTGGTTGCCTGAAGACAGGTGCATGTATTACTGCCGTCCTCTCCCATCGGTTTTGTTTGTATTCGCTAAAATTATACGGTTCAAGGTCACAGAGCCCACGGTAAATCATGAGCGTGCGAGGAATGCCGGGAGTTTTCCCCTGGCTGACCCAACCGTCACAAATTCAAACATCAGTACTTTTATGACACGCTAATAATTAACAAGCAAAAGTCACTTCCTACCCAAAGTACGCATTCAGCATTCAATATGGTCTCTCCAATGGCAGCCCGCCATTGAACATGAAGCTGCAGCAAGAAAGGGGGTTTTATGTACTTTTATAGCTACTTAAACTTGAACGGGCGACATTCGAAACGACGGATCCCCGTGGCCCAACCAATGACAGACAGATCTTCCTCATAATTTTTGACATTGTTAACGATTTACAGGCGACCTGAGGGTTGTGACGCAATCTATATACTATCACAATAATCTTTAGTCTGCATTTTCGGCTTTCCAACCTCGTGTGTAAAATTCTGGGCGCAGGGTGGGCCGAATTGGGATTATTCCAGACGGGATTCGCCTCTTTCTTCTGTTTCCCCGCCGTTTTCTGACAGAAAACATCGTCCATCAGAGGATTTTCCCGCGCGGGAAACACCACACAACTTTTCGGCGAAGCCCGGGAAAACTGATGGGCCGCTCCTATCCCACCCTCCACCGAGGGAGAGAAGCCACACGGAATATGTTCTTGTCAAAAAATGGGGAAGATATTTTGATGAATGTGATGAAAGCGTCTAGCATAGAGGTAATGTCTTCACCGTCCTCCGGGTCAGGACATGACGATAATGTCCGCATCTCAATCCGGCGGTCTTGGCGAGGATAGCGAAGTGAAGCTTGCTGTCAACTGCAGGGCCAGGTAAGCAGCATCATCCGTCTTTCTGCGGCGGGGAACGGTTGGATGTATGACGGGATAGCCCGCAATCTTTCTGTGTCAGTTTACCTCTAGCAACTTTCGTAATGGTCAATTTTCTCAGCATATGCATCTCCTTCCACGACGAATAAAAACAGTAGGAAAACAAGAAAGTCAAGAAAATAATTCCAGATTTCTTAAACGTTGTGTTAGGAATTTAATCATTACAAGGTAACTGCGATTCTTTTATATATTTTGCATTATTAATTCTGGCCGGAATTCTTGCACAAGAAGTGGACAGAATTACGGGACACACACATGTACTGGTAGCAATTTTTAAACGAAATTTGTCGCTGGGTTTAAAAGCTTTTCTCCCGGACGGTTTAGTCGTTATTTTAATGTGAAGAAAAATTGCGTTGTCAGCAAAGCAAAGATAGTCGTTGTAGGGACCGTATTTACAACAAAACAGCGCAAAGTACTTAATATAATATGACATATCAAAACAGTAAGGTAGCTAAAATATAGTTATCAAATGCTCATATAGTCATATATAGTTAGTTCATCTCAACATGTTTTAGAAGAAAACAATATGGTTTCTCATACAAATACAAAAATCTGTGTCAATTACTAGGATTTAAATCTCAGTGTCGAAATCATAATTAATCGGTTAGAAACAAGTCTATTCTTGAGTAGTTTGCATGATCAGGAATATTATAAGTTCAAAACAAAAGCGTTGACCTGGCGAGAACAACGATTTGAATGATTCAACTTTATTGATCCAAAACGTTGCAAAAGTCATTTGCAGCGAGGGACGTACCCTGGCTGGTGTAGGTCTGGGTTCATACAAAGGACACCACGAAAATCACGGCAATACATAGAGCCGCTATGATGTGGGATGTGCGTGTATGACAACCACACAATGCCAAACATTTTCTGACATCTTTGAACTTTGTGTGCTATTATCCCCCCACGTTCAAACCTGACAGTACTCCTCTGATGTGCTTCATTTTTCAACCTAAATGGCAACTTGCCATATCGGTACATAGGTAAGGGAACAATAGAAAGAAAAGACTTGTAATATCATCTGACAATCACAATCTATTTCCATACAGAACAGAGCTCTTTAACTAAACAAGGCTCAAGAGAAAGCTACTCGTCTTGCTTATAGTTCTTAGATTCTAATGTTACAGACTTTGTCATCTTTTGCTTGTTTTATATAACATTGATATTTTGTATAAAACGGGACAAATGAGTAAGATAGAGAGTCAAGAAGTTAGAGCCGGTTTGGAAGGTTCGAACTTGTTGCATCAATGTGGAGAATGCGAAGGTTAAGGACACTAGTACTGGAGGGGGAAAATTGATGAAACTGGTCCATTTGTGGTTCAAAGGAGCGGAAAAGCTGTGAGCATGAGCGATTACACATGTACAGGGAGGTCAGAATTTCCAATATCGTGTAATCCCGTGTGCACAGACTATCACAGGTAAGGTGTGTACATACATACATACATACATACATACATGCGCGCGAGCCTTGTGTAGCCCTCAAGATTTGGACTGAAAGCAAAGTTAGATTACTGGTACTTCCCAGGCTATACCACATCATAGTTCTCACACGGAAAACCTACAGAAACACTCCGGTATGTTCTGAATGCGAGCATATCTAGATCACATCGACAGAACTTGATATTCTACTCTACTCTACTCTACTTTAACATACAACAATTTTCGTCTGTGCCACTTGTAAGCAAACGTATCACTACCCGAAACAACCAAATGAAAATGAATGAATAAGTAAATACTGTACAACGGTTTACCATTTCTTTAGAATATCTGGCTATCACCATGTTTTTCGGTATCTGGTTAAGGCTTTTTGTATCTTTTAGCTTCTGTATTTTTTGTATTTTGTATCCGATCCTAGCTCTGTACTTCCATTGAATAATCACAAACTAAAACCGAAACAGTCGCATGAACTCAATTACAAGACGAAGAAGAAGACAATTCTTTTTACCCTTGTGGATACACTAATGTTTCACATACAAGCAAAATAGGACAGCAATAAGGTAAAATATCTGTAGACGAGGAATATTTGATGTGAGGTCTTAGATACTTTGTCTTTGTAACACTACCAGCAGATATTGGGCTGTTGCGGTATACAACATTATAAACAGCAAAATAAACTATGAATGAGTGTTTAAAAGGCACAGTTTAAAGAATGTCACTGTAACCTATTTCTGTGGCATGTATTTCCTGACATGGACGTCTCTATTATCACCTATGAAGCCTTGTTTA